AAAAAAAGAAAGTTAAAAAAAATAAATAAATAAAAATAATGCCTTGGGAACTAGACTTCTCAGTTGAGATCCTTACTCTACCACTACTAGCTGTATGATCTTGAGCAAGAGATTTAACCCTTCTGTTTCCTTATCTGTAAAATGGGAATAATATTAATAGTACCAGCTTCATGGAGTTGTTGTAAGGATTAAGTGAAAAGCACTTAGACTAGCACTTGGCACACAATCAGCACCATGTAAGGATTAGCTATTGTTGTCGTCAATGATATATCTGCTACTAGAATTTTATTCTATAATTTATATGTAACCTGTCATCTTCAGTATGTTTTCTGACTTGCTTTCTGATGATTTTTTAAGCTTGCCTTTGTTGAAATAAATGTCTGATTTTTAAAATATAAGGTCCGAGTGTGGTGGCTAATGCCTATAATCTCAGCACTTTCAAAGGGCAACGTGGGAGGATCGTTTAAGCTCAGGAGTTCGAGACTAGTCTGGGCAACATATCGAGACCTTGTCTCTATCAAAAAATAAATAAATTAAAATAAAATGTAAGATTTTTAAAAATGTAAAGTCATGATATTGGATTGTTCATAATAGTATAATTTTGCATTTTATTTTTATTCACAAATATTTAGTCCCTAAAGTATGTCATATTTATTTTAGGCCTCTAGTCCAGTGAGTTTTGTGCCTCAGTCTGTAGTATTGAGAAAAGGGAAAGGACAAAAAAATCTTTCTTTTAGTTTACTGGTGGATCTCTTACATTCTAGGTTGGTTATTGTGGAGAAAAATTACAGACCACTTGAACATTTTTAGTAATACATTTCATTCATGATAAGCCAAGAGTTAACAAGGATTAACACTTGCACAGCTCTACAAAAATTCTTGAATTCTTGTCAAGACCAAGACCAGTTTGACTTCTAGGGGTAACTTAAATAGATATATCTCTCCCCGAATCTCCCTCGGGAAAGAATCCCAACCCAACTCTACTTCTCCTAAGCTTTCATGATCAGCAATGGCTATTTGGAATCTTTGCTTTAAGAACATTCCTAAAACCCTGATTCGATAGAAGTTGAATGCTTTTGTTTTAGGGACAGGTTAGTTTAAGAAATTCTAGTAACCTATTTATGGGCCCTGTGTTATACTGTTTTCTGTGTTATTTTATTAAGAAGTTCAAAATTACAGTGTTTGATTATTCAATAAGGTTGGATCCCAAGTAGTTACATTGAGAGGTCCTCCTTGGGTGGGACTTCCTTACTGCTTCCTTCTGTATGCTGTGGCCTCCTCATACAGATACTCTCCCTGGTCTCAAGGGATCCTCCTGCCTTGGCCTCCCAAAGTGCTAGTATTACAGGCGTGAGCCACCATGCTGGGCCAAGATTGTAATTTTTGAGGCAGCAAGACAGTATAACAATTCTGCCAAATTGTCACTGAGCTGGCCTATTATTGTCTTGAGTTGGTTTGCGTATTAGGTTGGTGGTTTTCTTAGTTATTTAATGTCTTTGTCTAGCAGTCCCCAGCCTTTTTGGCACCAGGGACTGGTTTCATGGAAGATAATTTTTCCATAGGACAGGGGGACTGAGTTGGTTTCAGGATGATTCAAGCACATTACATTTATTGTGTAGTCAAACCTCTGTGCTAATGACAATCTGTATTTGCAGCTGCTCCCCAGCACTAGCCTCACCGCCTCAGCTCCACCTCAGGTCACCAGGCATTAGATTCTCATAAGGAACGTGCAACCTAGATCCCTCGAGTGTGCGATTTACAGTAGGGTTCACACTCCTGTGAGAATCTAACACCAGCACTGATCTAATAGGAGGCAGCACATATGCGGTGATGCAAGTGATGGGGAGCAGCAGTAAATACAGATGAAGCTTTGCTCATTCACCCACCACTCACCTCCTACTGTGTGGTCCGGTTCCTAACAGGCCACAGACCAGTACCAGTCTATGGCCTAGGGCCTGGGGACCACAGTCTTAGTCTGTTTTCTGTTCTGAAACTGGGTTATTTATAAGAAACAAATTTTATATCTTAGAGTTATGAAGGCTGAGACGTCTGAGGTTGAGGGGCTGTATCTGGTGGGGCCTTCTTGCTGGTAGAGACTCTCTGCAGAGTCCTGAGGCAGTGCAGGACATCACAAGGCAAGAGGGCTCATAAGAGACAGTCAAACTGATTTTATAACAGACCCACTCTTGTGACAACTAACCAACTCCAGTGATAACTCATGAATCCATGAATGGATTAATCCATTTGTGAGGGCAGAGCCCTCATGACCCAATTACCTCTCAAAGGTCCCACCTCAAAAATGCCATTGACATATAAATTTGAGGATAAAGTTTCTAACACATGAAACTTGGGGTACACATTCAAACCACAGCATTTAGCTTAGTAGTTTTTACAGGCAATAGGAATGGATTAGTTTTATGAGTATTTTTTACACCAAAATATTTTCCCCAAAATATTCCAAAGGAGTAGACAGTAAAGGAATGAAAATATGATTGATTTTAAGAGACTGGAAAAATAGATAATTGATTTTTAAAAATAAAAATACTAAATCCAAAGGTTAATTATCCATCAAAACCAAACCAGGACTTTTGACTTAGAGTGATGGTAAATGATTATTAGGTATCTTGTGTATTCTTAGGACTGGAGTTATTTTAGGGGATCCTTAAAATTAGTGTTGCCTAGAGAGGGTCCCACTTCAGAAGTCATGGACAGAGAATCCTTTGGCAATTGTCTCTTGACGTGCATCTTATCCTCCATGATTAATTTCACTGATGTTTTAAAATTAAAATATCTTAAAGGAATCATATGAAGTGATTTAAAATGCAGTCTTGGTTTCAACTGCAGATCAGTTGGAGTTGATCTTTTCTTCTTTTGGAATGGGACGAGAAATCTTCATTTTTAACCAAGTTGTCTACCACTCAGTTCTGTTGTGCAGGATCCTACTATAATGGCCTAGAAGCAGCCAGTCCTGAGAAAGCAAAGAGAGCCCTGTTATACTTAGCCCCCACATTCTCTAGGCGTTGGATTTTCTCTTTGTTTTTATTCCCACTGCTATCATCCTCAGTTAAGGTTTCCATAATTTATTCTAGCCTGGAAGATACTCACAGTTTTCTGAGTGGTCTATCCCTCTAGGCCCTGCTTCCTGCTAGCTCTGACAGTTCTTCCCACTTTTGATATATTATTCTTGTCAGATCTACTAGGCACCCATCTCCTATGATCTGGCCTATCCATCTTCATGCTTTGCAATTTTCTAACAGGAATCCTGTACTTCCAAAATTAAGGTTTGTTATCCTTCAACAGCCACTCAGATCTCATTGAATGGATTCCACTCACTCCTCCACACCGATCCCTTCATTAAATACTTGAGTTCTTTCAGTGTATATTATATTATACTAGGTGTAATGAGGAATTCAAAGATTATAACAATGCTTCACAGAGAGCTTGCAATCTAGGGAGTCAGATGTTTTATGGAAACGGTAAATATCAGCATGAATTTGAGGCATTATAAAAATTGTTATAAGATACTACTAAGAATGATATTTTAAGTGCTGGAAACTCATTTTACTTGTGATTTCCTTTCTCTGAAGTACTTTAGCATTTAAAATTTATAGTATTATTCTGATATTATATTACTATGTTATATCTTATATCAGTAAGTCTTAAAAAGTGGTAAACATCATGAGATCTGTGCCTACACATTTGGTTTTTGGTTGAAGTTTCAGAAATATGTGAACACGAAGCAACAATATTGATGGAAAATGATGTTCCATACCACACAATTAAATGGTTTTTAAAAAATATCTTTGATGAAACTTTTTTTAATTGGTTGAAATTGTGGTTATTTAAAGCCTTAAAACTTTCTGAAGTGCTACTTTTATCAGAATTCACAACATCTCTTTTGTTAAAGAATTTTTCATTTAACAGAGTAATAAACCTAGTCAAGTCTAACCACTAGATTGCTGTGAGAGCTATGATGTGGACCTACGTGTATATATGTATTGGGGAGCAGAGTAGTGGAAAATAACCACACGCATTACCTAAAAAACATGAGAACTTGTATTTTTTCACCTTACTGACAGTTTGGGTATTATGTAAGATAAATATTAATGAACAAAATGCTAAGTCTTGAACTTTTATAGAATTATAGGCAGTTAATCTGGGATTACTTTAAGAGAAAGCACCAATTTCTGCTGAGTTTTCTACAGTCTAAAATGCTTAATGTCCTGGGGCAAACATTTTTCAAATTTTAAAATTTCATGAAGACTATTAAGTATTATAAAATGAAATTGAATATACATGTGACATTAGGCTTAATCAATTTCTTGTTAAAAAAATTAAAGAGAGGATCCATTGCTTATCAGTCATTAGAGTGTCTGACTTAGGACAGCAGGGGAGAATGCTTAATGAGTGATAATACTGTCCTGTTAATTCAGTTTTGGCATTGGATGGCATATTAGAGCTTATTTTCTGGTTTTATTTGTCAAACTGCATGATTGATTTGGCAACCCTTCTCCCACACCCGCTTTAAAGGCACTTTGTTCACAGATTAGCAAGAATTAATTTTAGACAACTTTGATTCCAAAGTCTCAGGGAGAAATGTTTAAAGTGAAGTCAAGGAAATAATCTGGTCTCACCTATATATTTCTTTTTGGCGTCTGTTAGATCTTTCTCAGTTCTTCCTCATTTCTCTGTCACTCTCCTATGTGAGAAAAGAAAAATTATAACAATACATATTTTCCATTTTGTTTAATTTGCTTAGTCCAAAATTTCTGATTCTGCAAAATGTGCGGTTACTATAGTTGTGTGACTGCAGGATTGACTTGGAAAATCTACTTTTCTAGGAAGCAATGATGTTTTTAATTTGAGAAAACTTTTAGTGAGGGAGAGGTGAATACAGTATTCAGCATAGAAGAGAATAAAACACATAAGACATTGTACTGGTAGTCAGCTTGGAAGAATAGGAATTTAGGTCAGAGACATAAAATCTTATCTGAATCTCTTTTGGGATTAGTTATGTTGATCTAAGAGGGCAAATTATTTTACCTATATGTATTTCAGTTTTTTTATTGCCCAAATGGTAATAATATTTGTTAACTTACATAGGGCATGTAGTTTGAGCTTAAAACAAGGTAATGCATATGAAAGCACTCTTAAAAATATCTTTCATCAATAAAAATTCCTGTTGGTTTACAAGTATTTCACAATAGTGTAACTTCTAATTCTTTTTTCTTTTTTTAGATGAGGTTGCTTTTTTAAAAATAAAAGCGGGGGAACCACCTGGAACTTGTTGTTTTTAAAAGAATATCATGAATGAAAATCAGTTATTTGATTAATGACATTGTGTTCAGCAAATGAATCTTTACATATTGTAAGCAGTGGTATTTCTTTTATCTATATGTTGGTTTTTGGTATGATTAAATATATTTTTCTTATCTAAGGTGGGATCTCATCGTGTCCGTATGTCAAGGGGATTTGAAGCTAATGCACCTGCTTTTGACAGGTAAGACTGATTATTTTTATATAGTCCTGTAAGTTTTGATATGGCTAAGTAGTGACACTAGTTATATTTACTTATTCATTACAATTTTGGCTTGAGGTAAAATTCCTTTTAATTGGAAGACTGTGGCACCATTATTGTGTTTTGTGATGGTGCTAGAAGTGTGCGTCTTGATCTCTTGGCCTTAAAACTTCCTCTCTGGGTGTCGTCCAGTGGAGTAGCCACTAATCACACGTAGCTACAAAGTACCTGAAATGTGACTAGTCCTAACTGAGATATGCTGTAAGTAAATAAAATGCACAGGAGATTTCAGAGACAATGCAAAAAAAAAAAAAAAGAATGTAAGATACCGCATTAGTATATTTATCCCTTGGTGTACATGGGGGATTGGTTCCAGGAAACACCTCCCCCCATACCAGAATCAGTGCATACTCAAGTCTTGCAGATGGCTCTGCAGAACCTGTGAATATGAAAAGTCGGCCTTCAAGTCAGCCCTTCATATTCGTGGATTTTGCATGCTGAGAATACTGTATTTTTGATCCTTGTTTGTCTGAAAAAAATTCACATGTAAGTGGACTTGCACAGTTCAAACCCACGTTGTTCAAGGGCCAGCGGTATTTGTTTTATATTGAATACATGTTGAAATGATATTTTAGATACGTTGAGTTAAATAAAATATATTTAATTTCATCTGTTTCTTTTTACCTTTTAAAATGTATCTTCTTGAAAGTTTAACGTTATAGATATGGCTCATGTTATATTTCCTTTGTATGTCATTGCTCTACATAGCTTTTGGAATGATTGGAAGCTGGAGAGAAAAAAAAATTTATATTGGGGCCTGTTTTTATGAAAGCAGCTAGAGTTAGTAAGGAGGTCCCTCTGAATGCTCACGGAGTATGTGATGTCCTCACACGTCAGGTGCAGCCTTCGCCATCTGCCCTTACTGCTTTCCTAGCCAAGCTGAAGGCTCGTGTCTGTCTTATCTGGTGCCAGCCTCACCTAGTGGGCAGGGAGCTGGAGGCCTCCACGGCTCCAGCATAGGTGGGAGTCCCAGCACCCATAAGTCAGAGAGGAAATTGGATTAATGATTTTTCATAAATTCGGAGTTTTGAGACCATGTACAATGAATTTTTACCCAATTTTACCAATTCTGTGAGTTTGAAATACTGCCATATAGATTCTGTTTAATAATGGATTCTTGTTTATTGGAAAAAAATTAGGCTTATCATTTGACATATGCTTATTTCCTTTCTTTCTTTAATAGGCATTTTAGAACACTTAAGAGTTTATATGGTAAACAAATAATAGTAAATTTGCTTGGATCTAAGGAAGGAGAACATATGCTCAGTAAGGCTTTCCAGGTAAGTACGTCATTTCTTCTTTTGTTCTGGCCCACGGACACCTGGAATGGTATTAAAAAAATAAAATAATACAATAATCAAATTCTCCCAGCAAGTAAATTAATTCCTAGAAAAAGGTTGGGTATTTGTTGGAACCTTTAACTCTTTGAGGCTATTAGGAAACAGTTTAGGTTTAAGCTAATGTTGCTGATATTGGGATTATGGAAAGCTTTCAAGGCAATTGACACTATTTTCTAATCTGCTTATTTATTTTGTAGAGAAACAGAAAAATACCATCCCCACAAAAATGTTCATCTATCACTAGCAGAGAAATATCAGGCACATTCCTTCTTCACCTGTTCATTGCCTTGCCTGCTTCCTAGAAACCACAGTCATTGTTTTAAACCTATGAAATTGTGAATAATGCATTTATATGACATGCAAGTCTATACTTTTTTGTATTGAGGGAAAACTTGAGAATTTCAAGTATGAAAGAACCCAAAGAAATGCCTGACTTCTAAAGGAAAAATATTTTAATGAGCACTTATTGAATCAATAATGGATTAATATAAATTATGGTGTTATATAAGATTACAAATTTAAATTAAACCAAATGGTTGGAAAACATTTTTCAAAGTTAAATTTCCTAAATCCAAAAGTAACCTCATTATTTAGCTATTTTTCTAACCTTGTGAAATAAATATTGTTAATAAACAGCTTACACTTTAGAGAGTAACCTTTTATGATAAAATTAAAAAATATTTGTGTATTTTTTAATGAAGGTATAAAAATGAATATTTCAATCTTTGATAGGCTTTATCTTAAATAAGATACTTTATTTTGAGTTTAGGCATAGCAGTTATTAAATTTGTGTTATAAAATGGTGATTAGAAATAATATTTCATTTTCTAAGCCAGATGAGAATATTATTTAGGTGGGGGGATGGGAAAAAAAGAATATTATTTAAGTTCCAAGATGTTAATTGTATCACCTAATCTCTCAGAGATAGTACATGAGGTTGTAGAGAAAAGATGTCTTTAGGTATCAGCAAGTAATTTTCCATTTTACTGCCATTGTTGGTGAAAGTTTTGTGGGATTAGTGACATCTCAAAAGACCATGCTGAGGTTTTAATTTAAAATGTAAGGTTTCATTTGTAACATTATATTGATAAGATTTTATTTAGTTAACATTTAGATGAATATTTGCCTTTTTACTTTCAGAGTCATTTGAAAGCTTCTGAACATGCTGCTGATATCCAGATGGTGAATTTTGACTATCATCAAATGGTTAAAGGAGGAAAGGCAGAAAAATTACATAGTGTTCTTAAACCTCAAGTCCAGAAGTTTCTAGATTATGGATTTTTTTATTTCAATGGAAGTGAAGTTCAAAGGTTTGACTGCTCTGCTTCTCTGTTTTTAAATTGGAACTTTGGTATAATTTTAAAATTATT